CAACATCTGGGAACGATAGCAGCCATCGCATTATCCGTGAAAGAAAAACCGGTTTGGATTTGAAAGACTTTATGATATTAGGAATTTTATTGAAAATCCTTGGTGATAAAAAGTGAAATGTTTTGGTAAATTTAGATCAAGCCCAAAGCTCAAGTTGTGGAACAGAAGAAAGCGGTTGAAGTCTACAAGCAAGTTGAAGTCCAAAAGAGAAAGAAGGAGAGGCTCAAGTTCAAAAGCAGCAGAAAGCGATTGCAAGGGTTAAAGTACTTAAATGTTTTATTTCAGGATTTCTATGAAGACCAGACTGATTTGTTAGAAAGAAAGGAGTTACAAAACGATTATGGGATTTTTCTAAACCGAATGGAAGAAAATACAGGTTTGTTTTCATTGGAAAGAATAAGAGAGAGCAAGGAAGAACGTAATTGAAAAGCAGCGGTTTCGAGGGTACGAAATAGAAGATGATTTTTTAATAAAAGTAGTATTGGCGGAGGGGGGAGGGGTTGTGCGTAACGGATATTGCAACTTATTTTAATAATGGCAGGTTTAGAGTACCTTTCTTTAAGGGAAACGGAAATTGAGTTACATTCAAGAAGTGTGCGATTATTGAAGGCAGATCTTGACTTATTTAAGGAGATCAGTTGGTAAATCGACAAACAATCCATATTTCAAATGGTTTTATTATCTATTCAAACAGTGTTGGTGTAATTATGTGTTTTGTGTTCAGTTTAATGAGTGAACAACGTCATGTAAACGTTATATTTGTCTAAACACCGAAAATAATGACGCGACACCCTATATATGAGAATATTTCAATTTATTAAGTAAATCTGGGGGATTGTTTACGAAATAAGCACACAGTTAGTTTTGTTTCAGTTGAATTTAGATCTCAGTGTTGTTTTTTCCTCTTAAGAATTTTGTAAATTCGTAATTCTTGTTTAAAATTTATCGCTTTTTAATTTATTCAATTTAGATTGGGGGTTGATTTGCAAATTCTTGGAGAAGAAATTTACTGGGTGGTGGAAGTGATGTTTCATTAAATAGAGAGATAACGCACAAACAAGGCCGTTACTACTTTTCACGACGGCTTCAAAACGTGTAGGTACGTAAATCTATTTTCGCTAAATTACAGGCGGTCAGCCCTACTCCTGGCCCTACTTGCTTTGTTAAAAATGCAGTTCGTCATTTTTTATAATAAACCTTTGCGAGCTAACCAAAGTTGTGTGAGAAGTTTACGGAAAAAGTTTCGTCGAGTTGAAAAAGTAAGCAGTTGCAGTTTCTTATCTTATTTTATTGGTGTTATGAGTAATATTTCTTCTACTGTCACACATCTTCTATAATCTGTATCTTCTTTCTGTACCTGTTCGTTCTGTATGGATCATCTACCCAATAACTGTGGCGGCGAATTTCCCTTCCTCTATGGTACAAAAACGTGAATATTACGATTTTTCTTATAGCAAATTTGTCAAAGTTTCAAATTTAACTTATTTTGAGCTAGCTGTGTGTAAAGGGTCCACAATCAACCTTATAACTGCAAATACAGGTGTCACCCTTCCCGGTTTCGCAATCCGAAATTTTTAAAGAATTATTGCCTTACTTATACCATCCATTCTATTTAGAGGGTCGTAAATATTTTAACACAAGGAGTAGTGTATTGGTCATTTTGAAATTATCATCATAATTTTCATATCCATTTAGGGGGGGGGGGTGTAAATTTATTAGTACATGAAATATTTCTTTTTTTTTAATTTATTACGTTTAAGGGTTCACTGTCAACCCTATGGCTGAATCCAAATGTCAACGCACATAGTTTTGAAATTACGAATTTTTTAAGAACATTGTGTCTTACTCATAACCTTCATATGCGTTTAGAGGGTTCTAAATTTTGTAGTACATAGAATACCTTTTTTTGATGTATTATAATTATAGGGTCCACAATCAACCCTATAATTGCGAATCCAAATGGCAACCATGGCGATTTTGTAATTACAAGATTTTTAAGGAGTTTCTGCCTTACTCACAATTTCATGTCCATTTAAAAGGTTATAAATTTCTGATACATTTAATTTACTACGTTTAAAGGGTCCATAATCAACCCTATAATATGCTACTCCACGCGAAGTTGAAATTACGGAATTTTAAAGAGCTTCTATCTTACTCATGTTGCATTTAGAGGGTTGCTAATTTTTAGCAGAAGAATTTGTTTGTTTCTGTAATAGATTTACTTACGAAATACCTGTGGCGATTTTGAAATTACGGAACTGTATTGCAGATAATCTTTATGGCCAAGTAGAGGCTTGTACATTTTTAAGTACACAAAATATGTTTGTTTATTTAATTAAGTGCACTTAAAGCGTCCACAATCAACCCTATAACTGGAAATGCACTCCGGACGGTTTTGAAAGAAACATTTTTAAAGAGTTTTTGTTTTACTCATACTATTCATATCCAGTTTAAGAGGCTTGTAAATATTTTACTACAAGAAATATTTTTGTTTCTGTGATTGATTATATTACGCCTGAGGAGACTACAATTAACCGAAATTAACTCACGATCTTGAAATTACGTACGTTTTAAGGGTTGTACGTTTTATAGTACATGAAATATTTCTGTTTGCTTGATTTATTATGTTTAAAGGGTCTACCATCACCGTAAATAAAAATGTCCGTCATGGGTATTTTCAAATTACGCAAATTTTCAGTCATTAAATTTATATTTTTAGCTGAAACGGAGTCGTCGTAGTAGATAATTTCTCATTTTTTATTAAGTAGGTGATATGTTATTATATGGTTCGAGATCATGAGAGGGTTAATTTCTTCTTTGCCAGTTGCCACCACCCTAACTATTCTCTGCGGTTTTCCATTCATCATAAATATATCATATTTCTCTCGTGGTTAACGTTAATTTGTTCTAATTTTTGGCAATAAGTGCTTTTTTAATTCAATATTTGAAAAGTGTAGAGCCCTCTTGCTATTTACATGCGGAAAATAATACCTACTTAGTCACTATGCATTCATATAGACAGTGTCTACTTAAATATGTATATAAGTGTGCCAGAATGGTGCATTCAACCGGAAACTGTAGATTATTCTCAATGTTTGTCACACTGTGTATTTAATTTTCATACATAATTACATGTAAAATCAAAGAAATGGACTTTTATGGTGCTTTAATGTTTTAGAGATGCCCCAAAAAAAATGGAACGAACCGAAGCAACACAGTACCGTATAAAATGCGTTTATAATATACTAAAACCCTTCGTGTAAAGAACGTAGTTTATACTGGTATACATTATACATAAACATCCAGCGGATATTGATACAGGGTGTTTCGAAATTCACGCACACGGACTGTGGGATGGTGTTATACAACGAAAACTGAATCAAAAGTTCCTCTACCAGTTTTGGATCAGACCGGCACTTTTTTTTCGGCGTGCTGAAGCTTGTTCACTAGCAGACGGCGGACATTTTGAACAACTGTTGTAATTACGTACTAGTCATAATTATTATAGTTTATTTTCTGATGGAAAACTGGTAGAGAAGCTTTTTGTTCAGTTTTTGTCGTATAACACCATTCGTGTGCGCGAATTTCGAAACACCCTGTATATTCTTATAGAATGTTGTGCCTTTATTATTACCATTGATATACGATTTAAATGCGTTTCCTTAATACGTTTAAATTCGTATTAAATTTGTCGATAGTGTACTGCTAATAAACGTTTATAATAATGCAATATATGGACTTAGATTATAGATTTAATCAAATCAAAAGGTCTGAATTATATAAAGTACATAATAATTACAAAATCCAGCACGAACATTCAGGGCCCCTTGTCTTGATTGGCTATGTGTAAACCTGGATATTCTTGCTGCCTTCGCGTCGGTAAGGGGCGTCGCTAAGCGTCCTGGGCATCTATACCCAAGATGCGTCATTTCTAATTCTTGCCGTCTTTGCATACATGTAGGCGTGGATTTTAGAAGAAGTGATTTATCAAATTATTGCTAAAAAAACGTTTATTTATATACATATTATCAACGTAGAACATAAACTCTGTGGTTTATATAAATATGAATAAAAATCGTATTTTAAACCTAGGTTAAAAAATTGATCTACAAAGAGACCTATACCATCCCTTCAAAGCGGTTTTAAAACGTTTTTTAAACGTAAGTGTGTTTGCTGGGAAATCTAAACTAGGGAAGGGCAGTCCATTTTTCTAACTCATATCTTGCTAAGCAAACAATTAAGATGGAATCTCTCATTTTGGTACTAAATGATAATACACACGCCTTAATAATCGGCCTATCGTCAATTTATCAAAAGGAGATAAAACTGAACAGTCCTTTCGAACCTTTCTTCTCATATCATAAGCGGAATTATTCCCCATAGATAGCTAAAACAGCAGGATGAGTCGTGTGACATTTTTTGAGGGGTAGTTTTGCTTTCTCCCCAGGGTCGATAGGTTCCCTTATTAACGTGTTCGCATTTGGCAGACGTATTTACCGTGACCAATGTTATCACAGAAACAGAACGCAACTTTCGATACGTACAAAATCACATAATAAAGCTTCTATTTCAAATTCAGGGACTAAAAGCTGTATGCGTTTGCAAAATTCTTTCATTGCAAAACAGCAACCCTATAAAATTTCGTTTTTGCTACTGGAATTTCTACCTTTCTCTCCTTTTTTTAATTTTTTTTTTGCCGTAAGCGAGCTCTCCAAGAATATGGACAACGTTTATATTTGCTTCATTTTGTTTAAATTTAAATTTAAAATAACCACATTTACTCAGAGCGTTATTATCGCCATATTCACTGTCTGTCTGTACGCTTGCCTTCGAATCTACGTAAGTTGGGAGGATCGTTGAAATTGTACCCCTCCACTGTTTTTTTAGTACACTTACACGACCGCAATTTTGGCGTTTAAGAGTCGAACACTTTTTCGAATCAACTGTTTTGGAGTTCGGCTAAGAATGATAGTGGGATTAAAGAAGATGTACTACAAGGATAGAATTTCAATCAAACTTTATTCATTGTCCTTCAAAATTTAAGCTCAAAGTCGTCATCGTTCCAATTTACCATCACCAATAGCGAACATATGGGTAGGCAAAGTGATGGGCGACGCTTCCGTAGGTGTAAGGGTAGGCACCGTAGAAGAACTGAGGCTTAGCTTCCGGTTCGGGTGCCGCCATCGCTACGGCGAAAAGTACGGCGAACACCAAGACAATCTAGAGTTCAAGACAGATAGTAAACCCAACGTAACACCCTTAGATCGGACACTTACCAATTTGAACATTTTGAGAAGTGCTTTGTACGGCTGCTGATACAAAACTATACCGTATTAACCTGGCGTCTGTACTTTATATACCCGCGATATGCCCATTGTGCAGATAGAGCAATTTTAGACAAACGGGTGTGGTCGTTTTTATGCAAATAGACGTCAACAATTAATTATTTTCCACCTGCTTGTATATACTTAACTGCATTCCAGTACCTACTTTTTTTCCAGCAGCAATAATAAAGCGCATCAGCCGAAAACTGGAACATTTTGGGCGTGTGCAAAGTACCAATATCGGCCTTTTGGAAAGATTAATTTAATTAAGAGATTTGCATAATAAATCTCGACCTTGCAGGTATGTCGCACGCCCTCACTTTGTAATACCTACAAATGTTTGACAACATGGCAAGCTCCAGCTGATGGTATTTTAACGCGGAAGAAGGAGTTTTAATTTATTAAACGATATTGGCAATAACTAATGCACATTTAAATGCGAATGTTAATGGTAACTAGTTTACACATACTTTTCCGCCCTTGCTCGGATTACAAAGTAAATTACTCTTCTATGTATCGTACTTTTAATTATTATCCTGTTTGCACGTACACGTGAAGGTTTATTCTTCAGTATCTCCACTGGGATGCACAAGGTCTTAGATTAAAACAACTTGGACTGACTTTTACATGTAGCATCCTTCAGAAAATCTTTAAATGCTTTTCCTAGCTTCCACAAAAACAAAATTCCAGAATTTTTTCAAAAATATTAATGAATAAGCTTTGAGGGAAACGAATTAGTTCTTAAATATGGAAATACCCACAAAGACATGCAAGAATCTGCAAAGCATCTCTAAAGAATGTCAAAACTTGTTGAATAATCTGTCAATAGTTTCGGGAATATTACCTATAATCTGTGAGGAATCATTAATTATTTAAAGTTTGTGGAATCACCACTTTGTTCTCCTTTATTCTTTTTTGGTAGCCTGTATGACCATTAATTTGCAAACTGTCAGATGAAAATTCAACCTCAATTATCACACTTAGAAATTAGTTAAATTTGATCCCCCTTTCACACAAATTTAGAGTGCACTAGGTGTTTTTTTATCACTGCTTTGAAGAGGGGTGCAATTTTCAGTTAGGACTTCTGCTACGCAAGTTGATTAAGAAATTGTAACGGGTACTAGGGTTTTTCAGTTTAAAACTCCTGCCTTAAGAGACATTCATGTAAATCTAACAAGATACAAGGAATCGCATACGATTTTTAGTAGGAGAATTTTTTGACACTCAGTTCGAGTGCTGCTTTTGGTACACCAATAATAAATACCTAGTTTCACCATAAATCGAAAACTTTCCATGTATTAATGGACATACAAGTTAGTGGCGCACTATTATAAAAACTGCTGCGTGTTGTTTTAATTAACGAATTAACGAAGTGTGTGAACGGGCGAGGGGCGTGTGGTATCGATCCCCCAAGCCAATCTGCAGGGGTTGTTAATTTCCAAGTACGATAAGTATATGCGGAGACATTCCAAGGCAATACGATACAGACTTTTATCTTTATTTCTTATACACTTATTCGGGTTATTAGTAAATAAACAAAATCGCGTATAGTAGTAATGAACGCTTAAAACGGAAGCTTCCGACGATTCAAACGACACCTTATGGGAGCCAGTTGGACAGGTCGCAATTCACGGTGATGGTGATGATTGGGTTTGAGTAAGTTGGACAAACTAATCAAAACTAAATCCAAAATTACCAGATTGCGTGAAAATTAATAATAAACTAAACAGAAATTCTGGAGTGAATTGAAAATCAAACAGAAAAAATATCCTGGGTTCCAATCTGGAATAAGCGGAATTATTAATGAAGGATTGGTTATGGATCAATATGAATTCTGGTCAGGCATGGAATCTGGATATTAGCCCTTTTGGTGAATTACAAAATCATGCTTTTATAGGGACAATAAACAAATTGGGAAATAGGAAAGGATTTAATTGTAAAGGATCAGAATGACAACAGTCGACATCTAACGAAATAACAGATAATATAGGGAGCTTACAAATAAAATTTAGCCTTGGCACTTATTTTCTTACATTAGAATCACTCGTTACATTTTTTACTAAAATAAATTTAATTATCTGGCCAGCAGGGATATTTTTTGTGTTAACAATTAGGTTTTTTGCCCTTTTATAAGACTGTAATGTATTCAACTTAAATCTATTGTCACAGTTGCTTCTTTACAAAGAGAGTAAAAAGTTGTGTTTTAAATGTGACGAAGCACCCGTTTTCATACACGAATTCGATTAATTAACAACCAGTACATACTAAACCGGGCGCTTCTTTATGAGAAAATGTAGCTTCCAGGGATATATATTTTTTTAGGGAAAAGTAATTGCGTTAGATTGTAGCATATTTTTAACCGCCGATGAGGAAATCAAGCACCCGAAGAGGAAGGAAAATTAGTATTGTATGAATCAGTTCCATTAATTAATTATTGACCAATTTTGGTTTCGCAATGCTAATTTACAACTAGGATAGAAACAGAAAAGGTCGCTCGTATATAAGCAGGTGATTTTACAATGACTAAGTGCCTGCAGGGCATCCCTGCTGCCACTGGAGGTTCTGGAAGTTTTGTTTTTTACGTTAGGCAACTCTAATTGGAATACAGTAAGAAGCTTGAATGATGGATGGGTAACATGGGTCAGTACTTTGGAGTAAATACCAGTGCCTGCTCCTTCTAAAGTTTTAGATCCATCCGTGAAGACGAATATGGCTGGTTGGCATGCCACATCAATTGAGAAGTTCGTGAGTCCAATCGCCTTTCTAGGATAGGCAATCGCTTAATCGCCTCGCCCAGAATTCGAGAATTGCCCACCTCAGTGTTGTACCTCTGCGATTCAACAACCCCTTATTTTTCAGGCGCAAGGATGCAAGCTTTCTTACGTGGAGGCTTTAGATTTTAGAATTTTTTAGCCACTGACAAGGAAATCAAGGTACTGTAACTAGTTTGCCGTTTGTAGCCGTTCCCGTAGAGATATCTACATTTTTTGCACCGCCCGGAATCTCTCCTCGAATGGAAGAGGAGGGGCAATTAATATTATATGATTCAGATCCGTTAATTAATTATTGGTCGTATTTGGTTTCGCTCGTAAATAATAGCAGACCTTTGACAATGGGCTCAATTGGACTTACGGTTTTGGAAATTTTAATCCGGCCAATTAAGTGAATATAATTATCCGTAGCTAATTATTTGTGTTGCTGCAAGTGTTATCAAGATGGGCCGTGCTTGGTATTGCCGGGCGCGCGCCCAAATAGCATTAATTTTAAGGCTTACCCCAGATTTTTATGATAAGAGGGCAGTAATTAATTAAAGACGTTTTAATTTCGAGCCCTTTCGCACAGGTTCGTCGGGCGATATGAAAATCTAGCGATCCTTGCCTTTATCAACGTTCATCTTCTGGATTTTTCGTTTTGTACGCGTGCAGTTTAGATTGTCTTAGTTAATAACAATTTGATGATACGTTCAAGTTCAATGCAGGCTTCATACTTTTTTCTATTAGTTATAAAGGGGGGTTGTTTCCCTTGTTTCGCGTAATGATTTGTTTTCGTTCCCGTTTATGGAAAAAACTGCCGTTTTCATTTCCGTTTCACCTTCTTCGCCAGTGACCGGCGCAGTTAACCCATAAAATTACCACCCTTCACCAGGAGCAAGGTGTGCGAATCACCTGGTGGTTCTTTTTCTGCTTTGCACCTGGGTTAGAAACCTTATTTCCCTTGTAGTACACTGTATAACAATTAATTAATTGTCAAATTTCCATTTTCAGGTTCACCTTCAGGCACCACGTCTGAAAATGAGCATCAATTCGGTCATCTTTCACACAAATTTGATCTGTTTGAGCTTTTTTTATTTGTTTTCTAAGAACTGATTTATTAGAGGGTGCAAATTTTAGTTGAAGTTTCTAAATTTCCTCGCAAGGTGATTACCACATTTGAAATTAAATTGAATTTGACCCCCTCTTTCATGCAAATTAGACAAATTTATATTAGGGGATGCATATTTTAAGTGGAACTTCAAATTCTTTTCTGCTTCGGAAGCTGCTTAGAGATCTTTTAGTATAGTTTATAGGAGAAGCTAGTACGGGAGCCATAGTCTTGCAGTAAATCGTAATTCAAGTGGGAGTTTCATAAGCAAACTTAAATAAAAAGGTTTCAAGTTTTAATTGATGACACCCCACTAGGTATAACATTGTCACGTCATGTAAACCCAAAAGCAGAGAAGAAAAATCAGGTGCTAATGAGTTATATGCAGTGATTACGCCGAGTTAGAGTGGAACGGACTAAAAATATCAAAAAAAAAGTAAGGCTTGAGGTAACTTTATTGTAAACTATTTCATTTTAGTGAGCATTAAGACCAAAGACGTTTTTCAATTTCTAAATGCAGCCTAGTATAGATAGCGTCCAAAATATCCGGTGTATGGGTAGGCATAAGCACCGTAGGTGTAGGGGTAGGCGCCGTAGAAGAATTGCGGCTTAGCTTCTGGTTCAGGTGCGGCCATTGCGACGGCGAAAAGAACGGCGAATACCAAGACGAGCTGTAAAAAAATTATTATGCCGGAGGATCAACAAAGCGGTCGAGTTACTTACTAATTTGAACATTGTTGAAAGTTGCCTTGTACGACTGCTGATACAAAACTATACCATCAATTCGACACCGATTGGCTTATATACCACTCGAACGGGTGGAAATTTGCATTCAGCTATGCCGATGATATACAAAATAATGTAGGGCGGGGCTGCTTCGCACTACGTTACACTAACGCATTTTAATTTATCGCATAAATTTGGATACATTAACGAGCGCAAGCACTAACATCCTGATGTTAATGTTGACTAATTTGATTTATTAATCGTCGAAATGCAATGGAATTCTAGGTATTGTTTTATGGAGAAGAAATGTCGACTACCGTTTATAGAGATGTTGATTTATTGTGCACCATGAGATTTGGTTTGGTAGGTAATTCATCATTTGGCAATTTTAACAATGCGCAAAGGTCTTCGCGTAGGCTGTGATTGTGAAGTTTTTTATCTACGTAGTGCAATAGATCTCGATTTCTCGACAAAATAAGACCAAACCTTAAGAATATCAGCACTGTATGATTTACCCATTCATAGGGGTAGAAAGGAAAATATTGAACTTTAAAACAAACGTACCTACTCTACTTGAGCTTAAGGTTTATAACTTTTGTCTACATCTTGTATAATATTGAGCGGTAGAGCAAAACCATGCAAGCTTTTTAGGGAAATCAATTGTGTCTGTCTGTATGTCTGTATGTAAACACGATAACGGGCAAACGCTTGGACCGATTCGGTTCAAACTTTGCACAGCCTATTAAAAATGGGTCAATAGAAGCAGAAGCCAAAGACGATTTGCATTTACTTTTGCCTATAAAATCGACCAAAGCGATTTTAAGAAAAGTCTTGCTTTCAAAATCGAGAGTCGAAGTGTCAAAAATCGTAGATTTTCTAATAGATCGTGACGGGTAGAACCCAAGAAAAACAGCAACTGATGTCACTAAAAAAAGAGAGAGCCATCAAATAGAATTATAAAAACTCTTCCCTCTAAAATAGAGTTAGTTATATAAGTAGTAAAATGGTGGCGGTAATCCGCAAATCTACATTGTTCCAAGCAGTGAATCAAGCCTTGGGAAAAACTAATAAATTCATATTATCCCAATATTCCATTAAAGATTCTTATTATCCCAATATTCAATAAAAGGGTGTAAGGTAGGTAAGTACAAAATTCAATTTACAATTAGAAATTTAAACAGTGCCTCCTAAATTCTGATTTATTTTTTTCAAATTTTATAGAGATAGGTAAAGGTGGGATTTTTGAGATTTTAATGGTTAGAGTGGTATAGGCGTCACATATTGTAGACAGTTTACAGGGTGTCGAAAACAGGCGGTAGAGTTTTTAATAAATTTGTATTTGGAGTTGGTAAATAGTTGGTGGAATTAATTGTCGTTTATTATGGGTCATTTAATTGCAGATACCCAGTAACCCAGAAATGAATTTCGGAAATTGTTGAGGCATTCTGTTCGGCATCTGATTCGGTTATCTTAATTAGGGCTACCCGATTAAAATGGCGAATTAAGTACGATGTCATCTTCGGATGACATGGCATATTTTAGTCAGGGCCACTTTCTAGTTAAAGCTCTCCTTGCTCATGCAAGAAGCATTTCGTGTAACAACTGAGTGTTTTCCGCCTATTCCGACCCCGCTGCATCCGATTCTGCCTGTTGGCCAGTTTAAAAATGAACTGAAAGAGAGGTATTCAAGATGGCGTCCAATATGGCGATTTTTGCACCCTGCGTATCCAAAAAATTCTTAATTTTAAGATTCTAGTATGCGAACATAGGTTTTTGTTGTCAAGAAACACAATCGAATGGAAAGAAATTAGACTGGATGTGGTAGAAACGTCAATTCTCGTATTTCGGCTGAATTGTCGCCAATATTAATTTGAATTATTCTAGAATGCACTTACGTTCAAGTTTCTTATCTGTTGGCGTAGGTCGAGGAGTGAGGTTCTAATACCTTAAATGGCATTTCTCGACTCAGAAACCTACGTCCACACATTGGATTCGCTAAACGCTATTAGAAACATAGCAACATTTCGAAATTTTGGGGCCATTTCGGTCTAGATACAAAAAAATCTTGGTTTTCTACCTCCGGTCACATTTTTCACCCTCCCATTGCGTTCCCTGACCCAAGAAACGTGGGTGGGTCCAAAATGGGGCATTTTCGACGGAGAATACGCCAAAAACCGCCATATTGGACACCATGTTGATCCGTTATGCCTATCCATTTTCAGACTACAGGGAAAACTACTTGTAACTCAATTGTTACACGAAGTGCTTCTAGCATTTGGCTTTTCTCAAAAGTAGCCCTGACTATTTGATCGTACGTCGGATTGTGTTCTTCCCCTAGCTTTTATTTAATTAATTTTCATTTAATTAAGGTGTCCGTTGTCGTTAATAAGGCGCCATTTTGTAGGAGTCAATTTATTACATACGAATAGAAACTTTTTTTAATTCATTCGTTTCTGGGCTGTGGCGGTATTAACTGTATAATTCAGAGAAAATTTTTAAATTCGAGTCGGTACCACTTTTAGTATCCACGGTGCAGTTCAAGTATACATATATAGATTTGAAAAACTTTGAGGCGAATTAATGCGGGAAAGTTATGGAAAAGAATTCGGCCTTTTGGTCGAAAGACCATTAATTTCGCACTTCCAATTTACCAATTAGATAAAATAATACTTACCCACAAGTCAATGTGTTGTAGTGATGGGGTTCGTGATAATTGGGCCTGGTCCCACCTGAAGTCTCTAAAAAATAAAATGGTTTTCATCGCAATAAGCTAGTGTTCAGAATATTCGCCATTAACTAGAAGTGGCTTAACCTATCACGAAAAGCTTGAAATCAATGCCCAAGTGGTCTCGGAGCAATTATGATGTAGGATATCTAGATTAATGTTAATATAATAATAAAGTTTTTTTGAAAAATTTTCTTGTATACTAACACGTTAAATCATTGAAAAGAGAAAAAAAATCTCTACCAGAGGACCCTAATGGAAGCGTACTCAATATACATAATGGGCAGTCTGTATACACAATCTCGTGCGTAAAGAGTCTATTTGTGCGTAAATCATCCACTTATTCGTATAAACTACAGGACGTTCCAAAATTTCTTTCATTCATATGATTTCATCTATTTTTACCATTTCTTTGGATTCTGTAGATTTTACAAGTTCTCAAATCCATAAGTCGTTTAGATTCTCAGGATGATTCAATTTTTTTTTCTAATTTATCAGGTTCTCCGGATTCTTACTGTCTTTCGAAACACTTCGAATTCTCAAATATGTCATGTTGTTATGCTTCCATGAATGCTTCTGATTCTGGAGATAATTAAAATTCTTTGAAGATTTTTCGAATTCTTTCGCATTTCATGTTATATTTAAAACTCTTCAGATCCAAATGATCTTACCGTCTCTTCGAATTCGTCTGATTTTTTAGATCTTACAGACCCTCTGGCGCCATCAATTGTTGCATCCTCCTCTGATTTTTTCATTTGTTTTGATTCTTTCCTTTCTTTGGGTTCTAATGGCCTTTTGCACCGACAAATTTAAGCGTAGCTTAGCCTAAGCGTAGCTTAAAATCCATGGCAACGATTATTGAGACAATGGTTGCCATGGATTTTAAGCTACTCTTAAAAGCTAAGCTTCCCTTAAATTTGTCGGTTCAAATGGATATAAGAATCCTCCTTAGGATACTTTATTAGATACATTCATACATTTCTTCAAATTTTCTTTACTCCAGCCCTTCCGATCCGCTGAAGTCGCCATCTCACACGAAGACTTTGATAATTTCTTTGATTCCTGCTATTCTTCCGATTTTTTAAATTTCTCTGTTCGAGGCCAGGGTTCGAGGAGATTCGTAAAATTTTTTCGCTTTTTTCGACTTATTCCGATAATGGCCTAAAGAGAATATTTATTGCTCTCTCAAGTGCATCAGCAAGCACCACAGGGTCCAATTTGTGCAGGGGTTACGTAAAACACAGTAGTTAAGGCAAATAACGAATGATATGAAGATGCTCAAATATTGTTAAGAATCAGCTTTCCTTTAGTATCAAAAATTAATAATTTTAAGCTTTTGAAATAAGATTAGCGTACAAGTCGTAAGTAATACGCTTTGAGCTGATAAAAGAGAAAGTTGGTGTTATACAAAGTATCACATTGTACTTCCTGATTTATACACAACTTACAGTGTCATTTGCAAGAAGAGTGCAAAAAATTGGAAACAAGTTAACAGTATATCTAACTAATTATTCAAAATCTGGAATCCAATTAATTATGACACTCCTTTCCAACAATTGAACATAATATAATGCTACCAAGTAATCAGTATATAGTTTTGTAACAACTGTACAAGGCCATTCTCAAGATGTTCAGAGTGGTAAGTCACTAGTTCATATCTTTTTGAATCAAATGCGTTAATAAATAATTTCAGTTACTTTTGGTCTTCGCCGCCCTTTTTGTTGTCGCCATGGCCGAACCTGAGGCTAAACCCCAGTTCATCTACGGTACCTTCCCTTACACCTACGGAAGATTCGCTTATCCTTACGGCACTGCGGCTACATACTACGAGCAGTATTTGAAATTCTAAATTAGGAAAAATGCCTGATTTGCACTATAATTCGGATTTTTTTGTTGCTAACGTTTCATAATTTTCAAAAATAAATGAATGATAATAACCTAATATCCTTGGTGTTTTTCTTCTAAGTAATAGAAAACGTTATGTAACAGGGTCTTCAATGACTAGCTTAGTTTATTAATACGGGATTGAAAACAAATCCCGTTTCTGTGATCACAGTGAAAACTATTTATAGACATTTATCCGTAAATAGCCTTAAGTAGAAACAATGCGGTTTTCTACAATTGTCTCATTAAATGGAAGCTTACGGAAGTAATTTTATGCTTTTGAGTCTATTATGTACCCTCATACAAAGCTTCGTATTGAGAGACGTTTCTAACTTTAGCTTCAATACAAAATTTATCTTTAGTCGACAAGGACATGAAGAAAGACATTTGCCTTTATCTAAAAGACTCGTGCTTATTTGAAAGTTCGTCCGTCCACCCGTTCAAGGAACCAATTTTCACCTGAAATGTCACAAAAGGTACCTAAAAAGAGCATTGTACTGTACAGGGTCCTGCAACAATGCGTCGATCTTTCCTATGCTAATTACTCGTAAAAAATACTTAAAAAAATGCGTGTGCAAATGTAGATGGTTGTGAATCTACAGAAAATAGTTTTCAATGTACAGTGTGTCAATAAATAACTTGTTTTTAAATAGAACACCCTGTAACCACAAGATTTATTAACGGGTTTATGAACACAACAACAATGTAACACTAATTAATAATAATGAACATTTTAAATGTAACATTAACATTGCAATTTAAAAACGGCGAAATAACGAATGGAAGACTCCGTCGTATGGAACTGCAACGGTTGTACTCGTCACCAGCTTCCAGGAAATGTCTTCTCTGAGAAGATGCTTAGGAATCCTGGCAAAGGTGATATTGGCTGTGGTGAGGTAGTAGAACACGTCTCACAAAATTTGTTCTTTGTTGTTTCTTCGCCCTCTTCGGAGTCGTAGGTGAAGATAGTACCAGGTCCCTGTGATACGTCCACGCTATAGGAGGGGTGATAGACCTACGCTAATAGCAGCGGTAGGTATTTAGGTCTACGTCATGAGCAGCGGTAGCCCTAGAGGAAATGGCATTGTCGATTCTCGTGTTGCTGTATGACACCTCCGACGGCGAAATTTGATGCGTCGGTTTTGACGGCTGGTGAGGCTCCCTGCTTGGGGTTGTACGAGTTGCGTTGTGTTATCTCATTTCTCGAATGTACTGGGTGATTCCCTTTAGGTCTCCCTATTTGAAGTTTATTTAACGGGTTCTGAATTCGCGCTGCTGCTGAAACGAACCTTCGGTAATAATTGATCATGTAACTTCATATCTGAAGTTATGATCGCACCGTACACTTGCGAAGTCGACCAGCTTTACAGAACATCGGGTATCGAGAAACGTTGTAGGGTTAGCGCTTCGTTACTGAAGAGTTCGGGAATTTAATTACTTGCTCGAGGAGTGAGTTTTCTGTGTTTGTGTAATTGTTTATTGTTCCGGTAGGAATATTTAACTTGTTCTTACAGTCACCGGAAGATCTTGTGCCAGAGCAGAAGCGAGACCATTAATATTTTGATATTTCATCGCCGTTAATTAATTATTACTCATTTTAGATTTCCATAATAAGCGAAAACCAGGATAGGGACAAGTTCCAAATCCACTTGTTAGACGTTATCAAACATTCCGGAGCGTAGATAACGACAACGGTTGTTGCGCTGGAAAATTCCAATTAAAACTAGGAGTTGATTGGATTAGTGAGTATTGAAATTAGAATGTGTTCAATTGGGTAACGTGATTTATGAAAGACGTTTTAATAAGTTGTAGAAAAAACTGGTAGACGGCGTTTAAAATTATCTCAAAATGGGCGCGCTTAAAAGACGGAAAATTCGAAGTCCATCTTATATTTTTCCGATTACTACAGGTCGAGTAATTAATTAAAAATCGAATTAATTTGCACCGATTTAGTACTAAATACAGCGAGGACACAAATTTTCCCTAATTTGGCTGTCTTCGTATATTTTATGGATTCCGGAATCCCCATGATACACATCCTTATGTTGGACACAATGTACATATCCATTTGCTTTTTTGTACTGTCACATAAGTTTTGTTGTTCTACCCGAAACTTATGGATTTAGTATTGTTTGATGATAAACAACAGAGTTAGCGAAATTTAAACAGTACTAATTCAAAGGGCTGTAACTTTTGAACTAGTAGCCCAATCTTGGAACTGTTTGAAATTATGGATTCTACAGGCCACATTCTATAAGATGTTTTTTCCGGTCGATCTGAGACAATTTTTTTTGGCTCAAAAAAGGGCAGTGTATAACCTTCCTTTTCTACCAAAAAACTACTACACCAAAATTTCTCGGGAAAACACTTTTTCTTATTAATTTTGTTGCATAGAATCCAAAACAATTCGTACTTTTTCGATTAGACTTCTCAAAAAAAGGCAGTGTATAGGTAAGTGTGTCTTATTAAAAATCTGCTTTAATCCTCAAAAAATTTATACTTGTTTTTTATCGTTTATGGGGGAAATTTTCTACAAAATGATGACCATTTCTTTCTTACAACAACGAAGAAAATGCATAGTTGAACAGTATTGATATATTTTTTAATTTCAATAAAATTATTGAATTATAAGTTGGTCATCAAATAAATAGATTTTTTTTCTAATCTGAGTTGTGATTTCATACAGGAAAAAAATTCTCCACGACCTGTACATGATGAAACATGCTTGCTTCCTCTTTTCGAGCAGAAATGTTTTTAAATTGGTTTACACATAACAATAAGAAGTCCATCATTCGAAACAATTCATAAAAGGTAAACAGTACTAAGTCCCGTAAAACAAAAATTTTTGATAAAATTTCAAAAATTCGATCGTACATATGTAAACTTACTAGTTATAAGTAACATGGTTCTTCATGATGAAAGTAATCAAATGTATAGGTTAATAAGGTCAAATTATTCCTTTGTGCTTCTTATAATGTGGTTTTCTGTTAACTTTTGAATTTGTGACTTATATACTTTACCTCTGAGGTACAGATATGTATTCATTTGTCGATAAATGCCAAGGAAAGCGTAGTATATTCCAGGTATTCTGCACTCCGCTCCCCTCCAATATCTAATTGCAGTGTGCATGGGACCGTTTCAGGACCTGAAATCAAAAATTCAGTTATAACTTAAGCCTTTACATCAATTATACGATCCCCTATCAAGCAGAAAACGTAAAAAATTACCAAAGATTTGTGCAACGTTACAACATTATAGGCAGCTGACTATTTCGTTCGATGAATTTATTACAAAATTTTGCTGCAGAAACCCTTAGGTACAATATGCTACTAGAAGATTCTACGGCAAAATCTTTCTGCAGAACCTTAAAGAATGTCACTGTAGCACTAAATTATTGCAAGATCCCGACCACAAGTGCACAATCTTATTGTACAATATTAACTAGCTGTAAATCTTTGTTTCAGAATTACTGCAAACCTTGTGAACCTTAGAGACCTTAGTACACTACAGTTGGACTGTCATTTTAATGGACAAAGATTCTTCTAAACATGTTTTCAGTATACGTCATTGTCGCGAGTAACGATCGATACCATAAATGAACATTTAATGTCAAGTACTAACAAATTAGGAATCTACTAAACATACAAGGAAGGCATGTCGATGTTTATTTAATCTTGTCGACTTACATAACCCACCACGCCTGATTTAAATGCCAATTTTTCTATTGTCTCCTTGAACCATTTTGTGTGCAAAAAAATAATCTATATTTAATAAGTAATTACAACTGAAATCTTGTTTGCATTCGTATTCTAATGGAGGAATTCTTCTGAGTAGGCTTCAGACACGAGGTTCGCAATCGGAATACGGATGTTAAGACAAGTGCGCTTTTTTTCAATTTAATCTAAACAAATTTATTCAGAAATTATTGTTACGCTTTGTTCTTAAATAATGCAGAACAACCACGCCCGATACAGCTAATTATATTAATCGAGGGCGTTAATGCAATGCAAATTATGATCAATATGAGTATATAAACTGGGCTCAGATCGGTTGGTAGGTATAGTTTTGTGTCAGCAGTCATACAAAGCAGCTTTCAAAATGTTCAAATTGGTAAGTAGCGCAATTCGTGTAATCATCACGGGTCTAACTTGCAATTTCAGTTGGTCTTGGTATTCGCCGTACTTTTCGCCGTAGCGATGGCAGCCCCCGAACCGGAAGCTAAGCCGCAATTCTTCTACGGTGCCTACCCCTACACCTACGGCGCTTACCCATACACCGGATACTATGGAAGATATTTGGGCTACTACTAGAAATGAGAAATTGGTCAATCATGTTGGAAAATATTTTGGACAAAATTGAAGTAGATAAATAAAACGGTTTTCTTAATTCAACTTGTGTCTAAATCCTTACCTACCTTCGACTGTACTTCCACCTTTAGGTAGAAACATCACTAAACTTAAAAAAATATGTGTGGTCCCACTTAATTTCCTTCGATGCCTGCAATGAGCACGGTATAATGTCATTAGTAGTAGAATCTGGTGGTTGGGAAGGATGTGATAGGACGGTAACTTGATTTTTGGAGTCAAATCGGCGAATTGACATGTTGAGTTCTAGCGTAGTTCTGGCGTTGGAGACTTAACTGCACTGGCAATTGTTCCATTTTCTCTAATTTCCATCAATTTCAGTTTCTTAAAATTGAGTTGCAAGACTATGCATCTTCAATTATTAGGTCAAAATTCTTTTTGTTATCCAAAAACCAATTATGGAACTGAAATTAAATACTCGCAGCCATTTTTTGCTTTACAAAACCGTACTTACGTTCCCTGTAGGGACAAAAGCACCACGATTAATTTATAAGGAGCTAAGACTGTACAGCTACACATTAAGCGTTAGTTTGGGCTAATGCAACGAGCGCTAATTGAAGAAAAGTACAAACATTCCGAGAAAATTACTCAAATTCAGAAGATCTTATATCACGAATTCTAGTGATGATTCCATCAAAAAGCAGCGAATATTCGACGCCCATTGGCTTCTTCTTAGTCTTAAAATGTGCAGTTTTTCGAGGAAAGCAGTTCTGAAAAAAACCAGTTACCATTTAGCGACTGCAGGCACTTTGTCTGTCTGTGCTGAAAGGTTTCTGTCCCCGTATACCAAAGAGTTCCATTTTTTTAAAGTAAGTCCTCGCATAAAAATTGTAACGTTTTCTTTTCTTTCTGCTTCATTAGAATTTACATTTCTTTATACAATACCCTTTATGCCATCTGTGTGTTTCTCGTGTAAGCTGGCTGTAGTTAATTTTGTTGGTCGAGTTTTTATGTCTTAGTTCTTTCTTTTGCCGCTAGAGAACATCCGAATTCTTGCTTCTTTTTGTTGTGTTTTATCTGATTACAGATTATTTGGCAGTAAGCGACCTTCTGAATTCAGACGGCCGTGACCAGGACTCAAAGTTTTTTTTTTTAATTTGGTCGATACTCCGTGAGCTTTAACGTTCGTTCATAAAAGTAATTTTTTTGGTGTGCTGTAAGTGCATGTACCAAAACTTCTACTTTTGAACATATTTCCGATTATGGAAGGATCAGTTTTCCTATTAGATATCCCCTCCAAAAAGGGGTAAGAGATGTAAGTTACATGCAGATGAAGTGACACGAACAAAATTGAAGGAAGCGCAGCAAATTTGGGGTAGGACACTTTCTTTAAAGGAAACATGGAAAATCTTCAAAAATCAGTAATGACAGAAACATACAGAAAGACAGGCGCCGGTGAGCTGGAAAATAAAATTTTGATATAAAAGAGGTATCGAGAATAGAAAAAATAGCCTTGGCAAGGTATGTCAAAATAAGTAACAAGTAACAAACAACTGAGTAAATATAGTCCAGTAAAATTAGACAAAATAAGGGCCAAACCCGGAAATTTGAAAAAACAAGCTGAAAATTGGCAGACATGTTCAGGATAGTGCCAGAACCAATTTCCGAAAAGTCCGAAAAGATCCCGGTTGGGGAAGGGACGCCATCTTAAAAAAACTACCCCTAAACTCGATTTCTCGAGTTTTGAGCAAAACCAATGAACCAATGGTCTGATTCTCGTTGCTAATGTGTCAAAATGTTTGTTTTAATGTGTATTTGGAGTAAAAATATAATTCCGCACATAAAGAAGCCCTTGGAAATTCGAGTTTTTTACGAAAATCACCCCCACCCTGAATTTTTCACGTTTTCGGCATTTGTTGTTGTTTTTTTTGCGCAACCCTAGGATTGGTTGGACGAAGTCCTCCACCTTTTCCTATCCTGCGTTAATCTTTTCAGTTCTACATAACTACCCTTGCCTACGTCCCTAACTATTTGGTCTATGTATTTAAGTCTCTGTGGTCCTACCCCTCTCTTGCCCTCGACCCTACCTTCTATAGCTAGTAGTGCTATTCCTCCGTGTCTTAGCACGTTCGCTATCATTCTATCTCGTCTTCTCGGTACGGTTTTCCATATTTCCCTATTTCCTGTACTAGCTCCAAGACTGCTTCGTTTGTTACCCTATCCATCCAGCGAATCCTCATTCTATCCTACTTTTGCCTGCCTATCGTCCAGGTTTCGCACCTGTATGACCTACACTCCATTTGTACGTTTTTAGCAATCTTTTCCTAATTCCTATATTTATCTCGGATCTTAGCAGGTCCCACTTTTATGCCAATGCTTTTTTAGCCTGCGCTATCCTAGATTTTATATTTTCCTTGCAACGATTATCTTGTGTAACCTTACTACCTAAATAGCAAAAGGAGCGGTTATCTTAGAAAGTGTTTATGTAATACGGAAACTGGTTTCCTCATCGGCAGCTAAAAGGGCGCTAGAAGTTAAATCACCTTCTGTTTCCAATTCCTAAAAGAAATAAATACATCTGGAAGCTACGGTTTCTTAGTAACGAAACACCCAAATTTATATCACGTTTCGATACCGTGCGTTCAGGTGTAACGGTTACTTTTGTAAGAGTTGATCGGTGTCTGATTTTTATTCATAGTATAGATTTTCGTCATTGTGTTGTCGTTCGGTCTCGCAATGTTTCCAGTTTAAAACCTGTGTATGAATTGATTATTTTCACCCCGTTTTTTTTAGTTATGTGCGAATAGTTGAAAGGATTCCGCTCATTTACATTAATTGTAAAATGCATTTAAATATTTTTTACGTGCAACTTTAACTGACTCTACAAATAATAATGAAAAATAGAATGAATAAAATAGTGTTCATTTAGTTAGTACTCTCAATCTTGTTCTGAACTTTGAAGGTTTTTTTTAACAAAAATTTTGACATTCAGATAGAGAACGTCAGGAAGAACGATTAGAAACATCAATACTAATTATCCGAAGCTTTATTTAACAACTATAGCCGGAAAAGAGAAAAACCAATGATGGAGGTGGTTTTTTTTATAAAGGTCACATTTGTCGTATTATACGGAATAATTATTTCACTCAAAACAAACATCAAAACAACCATTTTGACACCTTGACGACGAAATTTGGACCATCCGTTCATTTGTTATGCTCAAAAATCGGAAAATCAGATTTAGGGGTAGTTTTTTCAAGATGGCGTCCGTTCCCCAACCGGGATCTTTTGGGATTTTTCAGGATTTAGTTCTAGCACCATCCTCACCATGTATGCCAATGTTCAGCTTGTTTTTTCAAATTTCTGGGTCAATGTCTACTTTTACTGGACTAATATAAGCAAACTTGAATTCAAAAATACAAAAAAAAGGTCTAAGTATCATTCAGAAGATATCTGACACCAATGGATTTTCTATGATAGGTGTGCATGTCGCCAAATAGTATTTACTACAGGGCGCTAGTGATCCGAAGCATCTGTTATAGACTCATATCTCGCATACATCGAAAACGAGACTCAAATAATCTACGGAGACGAATGTGCCTTCCGGTAAGAAGATCGGCAGACACAAGTACATGATTTGGGGCTGTGATCCAGTCCTAGAAAACCTGTGAAGCATATTCTTGAAACCCACATGTGGAATATCTTGTACTTTAGGAGAAAAATGCCCATTGGGGAGTGCATTCTCAGCATCCACTGATTTTACATACCTTCGCCGAGGGGAATAATCTAGAATAATAAAAATGGGTCACAAACGAACCAAAAAGTCTAGTATTAATCCGTTCGTGTGTAACGAAGCACCCGGAATTTCCCCATTTAGTTTGCCGTTTACAAAGAACACCCGGTATAGTAACGACTGGTTTGGGCTTCGTTACGCAAGAAGACCGCGATATTTTTGTAACCACCGAAGGATGTTGTCCTGGCGAAAATGAGGGGCAATTAATATTCTTTGGTTTCAGCGCCGTTAATTATTTATAAGATGTTTTAGATTCCCATAATAAGTAAAATCAAGGATAGAACGAGTTCAAATCGAGGTGTTTACAAGTTTTGCAGTCCCGTCCGTATGCCTGCATGTTGCGATAAGAGTGTTAAAGCGATAGCGCCGTTTGAGAAGAAAAAGTCCAAGGGAGCTAGTTGCAGATTGGATTGATGAGTACTTAGGTTTGATTACGCTTAATTAGGTAAGCGCTGTTAATTAATGCCATGTTAATGGGCAGTAGTAAACCTTGTCAGAAACCGTCGAGAGAGGTGTCCACAGAGGCGCTGTAATTTTTCTAATTGTTTGCAAGTTGTCCCAGATTTTTAAGATAACCACAGGAGCCGCAATTAATTAAAAACCGAATTATTTTCTACACCGCTCGGTACGAGCACCGCCCGGCTTTGGAAATTCCCTGTTCCACTTCCACCAAAATTGGTTTCCTTTAAAAGGAAAATGCTCATTTTGGGAGGGATCTTTTCTGCTTCATACTTTCGAGTTGTAAGTACGCCTTTTGATTTCTTTAATTTGCGAAACCGTATCATTCCGAATCCACCGAAACCCTTTTGTTTTACCGTTTTACCGTTTGAGCGACCGTAAGTCAAGCCGTTGTCCTTTCCTTTTCACTACCGTTTTGAGTTTCCTTTTTTTGCACAACCGTAACCTTTTGCCACCGTTCCGCTAAACTTCATTATATTCTGTTCTCCTTGCTTTTCCGCTTTTATTTCCCCTAGACACCGCTAATTGATTTATTGTTTTATTCCCTTTAGGAAATTTACCGTCCGGGCCGTTGGCCATATTTTGTTTTAGATTATCCGGAAGTGACCGCCGCCATTTTGTGGTGAACTCTTACCGATCCCTGGTAGATTCCGTTCTCCACTAGAGGATACCCGGAGGCTTTCCACCCCGTCCGACAAAACCGCCCCTTTTCCCAAGACTTAGGGGGTGCAGATTAAGTCTTGGTGGCGCCCGAGTGACCGACCGACCGTCCCCGGTGTAATAATTGAATTGTACAATTATATTATTGTTCGACAATTAAATGAACTTGAAATAATTGTGCTTTCCCTTATTTAGAATACCGTTCGTGCACGAGCTAAGGGGGAAGTTCGTCGCACGTGGGTGAAATCTGTCCAGGTGAAAAGGGGTAGTTTGTGAAAATTGAAAGTCGCATATCGTAGACTGTTAGCGTTCTATAATTAAGCTAGGGTGATCTTTATTACAGCGTTTTTGATCAAACGAAATCGAGGGCGTAAACTTAATTTAAAGGTTGGCAATAAATAGAAACATCTAAGGTCAAGGGTTGCACGCCTTGCACGTAACAGAAGCAAAATCTTCATAAAAGACAAAGGATTTATTTCTATAAAAACGTAATTTCTGTGTGAATCTGTAAGTACGTGGCCAAGGTGAACGTTTAGACAACTTCGCGAACTTCAAAGAGAAAAATGTGTTGCCTACAGTTTTTCTTACACAATAATTCTCAAAGAAAATTCACATATAAGAGGATTAGCAGCTTATTTTCTAATGTTTGAATTGAAATTCTGCAAACCGAGTGCAGAATGATAAAATCGAAATTGATTTAAGTGGCAACCATGCAAAAAAACTGATACATTGGACCTTTGTGGTGCAATAAAGTAGGTTCTAATACGAATGAGTGGTTACATAATTTATGCCAACTGCGTTAGGATCGCATTTTGTAATCCCATTACGGCTAATTACTGTAGTACCCTTTTTACGCTTCAAAGATGAACAATTAACAAAGTTAGTGATCTGCTAATTTTTAATGTTTCGAACAATGCACACTTAACACGCACATATAACAATGCATCCTATTATTAGATAGTTTAACATTTTATTTATGCACGGGCATTCGTTTACAATTTTTTTTGTTTTTCATATTCACTTAAAATAAAATAGTTGGTTTCTCCAGCCATTCATTCTTAACTCTAGATAAATATTGATCAAGGAACTGTGACCAATGGAGGAGTGTAGGATATCGGAACTCCAGGAGATCTCCAAGCGATGTAGATTTTCGCCGTTTCCTCAATATATTGTCTCAATACAGGGAAGATGAAAATATCTAAGACTTTCGCATAATTATCCTGTAACATGCCAAGTCAAAGCGAGAAACAGGGTAACTGTCAAAATGACCTTAAAATACTGCAAAGTTCGAAGACTATTCCCATTGCACTTTGAAAGTCCATTATAGTCTTCTTTCTTGGAAAGGTTTAAGAAGTCTTTCTTGTATCGATCGTTGAATGAATTTGTACTAAAGAGACACGTGTAAAATTGCATAATTACGCAATGTAAACTATACACTATAGGAGTACATACGCAAACAACGCTGAATGATCTGTCTGTTTTCTGTTATAATAAAAGAAGACGTTCAAGGTGTTCGTTTGCGTCGAGGTTTGCGTAAACGCCATGACTGAGTGAACGAAAAGGACTAGCTAAATTTATAACGCAAACACAAACTAATTTGCTACGATTATTTTTTTTTGAGGTTTGGTCAATTATCTAACACCAAATTCCGAAGTAAAATGCATGTCACTGAAGTTAGCTTAGGATTCGGATTTACAAATATTACAGCAAGTTATACCAAAGCAAAGAGTAACTAATAATAGTGACCAAAGTATGAATTTATATTTAAAAAAAGGTATAAAGCGTAGTGAGAACATCATGAATTAAATACAATAAGCAGGAAAATACCTTACAAAAGAACAGAAATTATAAACTTACCCATTGGGGTAATGGGTAATTTTATAATTTCTGTTCGGGGATAACGAATAATTATATACTTATAAAACTTACTAACTTATAAGGGGTTTATAAGTAGTAAGTTTTATAAGTATATAATTATTCGTTATCCCCGAACTTCCCTTTATAACTGCTTTATAATTAAATTAACATTTTTATTTTCTTGTCAAGTAGCTGAAGACGGAGATATTATCGCTCATAACTCATTACCTTATTGTTGATGAAGGAGTCCATAGAGTTTGAGTGAATGCTTAATGGAAAAATGAAGTGAAATTACCCTAGAAATTACCTTATCTTTTATAAACATTTATTTTTATGGTCTATAGCCTCCACTCTCAAAATGTTAGTTAGATGCTAGTTTTGAAGGAAATATCTGATTTGTTTTTTGTTAAAAACTAATACATTCTGTACTTAACTGCTCGTAGTTACTTTTAAAGGGTGGTTTTATAATTTTTGTTGGTTTGTAAGGTTTTTGCATTCTCGTCGTAGTTAATTTATATTGTTTCTTTTAATAGGTTTGAATGAGTAGGCTAAATCGCTCTTTAACCGCTAGGGTAGATAAAGTGAAAAAGATGATTATACATTCTAATGACATTTGTCATTCTTATTTCAAATGAAACGCCCAGCACGACAGTAAATGACGTTCAGAACATATGACTATACTGTTTCTATAGAAACAACCGCGACGGCAGAACGTAAGCTTGCTATTTTGGAATTGTCGGAAGCTGTACAATGATTTACTTGGCTTCTGCTAGAAAATAAAGTTTTGTATTATTATACATGATGATAAAGGAAAACTAACCATCACAATGGTTAAAATATCCCTTTATCGTATTATATAATAAATACCTATTTCATTACGCTTATATGCGTTTACACCCTTTTTTGATAAATGATAAGTGATAACTAATAACTTAGCTCGTCAGTTAGTTAGCTCGTAGTTGCTGTTTATACTCTTCTAGCAGGCTGTATCTCCTTTTGCTTTCCTATGCATCTGATACAGTTAATCCTTCGCATAAGGGAGACGTTCCATGTGAAGTCACAAATACCTCACCAAGAGAAGCCCTTCTCCGCTCATGCAATAATTATTTCTTTACGAAGAGACTTTTGTTTTCATAATTTAATTTATATTCGACAAGCTTTTAATAAAATCAAATGTGTGGGTGATTTTAGGGTTTTTTTGTGCCAGGAGAACACCAGGACGAGGAGATGTTTTCAGATTTCCAAAGTTGCTTTCGGTAATTATTCTCGTACGAAATCGTTATTGTTCTTATGATGTAATTAATCTTGAGTAAAGCGAGAATATCGCGACCGATCTTACCTTTCTCGTTTATGTATCAGGCTGTAAGTGAGAAAATGGTTATTAATTCATTGACGCCTTTTTATTCTCCTGCTATAATTGTTTCTTGCATGCTTGCTATGCCTTTGTTCTTATAATAAGTGCAAGATTGTACTAAACACGGATATGAGGGCAATACTAATATTTTTATTTGTGTAGGATAGCAAGAGTACCGGTAATATATTTACGCCTTTTAACTTTTTTACGGTTCTGGGTATCTGGTATAATTATTTCTTAGCAATTATCTTAGCTATTTTCGCTTAGTTGTTAACCATTCTTAGTAGAGCAGATAAATGCCAGAAAACGCTTAAATCGTTCAGAATATGAATACAAGCATGAAATATAGTACGAATGCTCCTAAAGGGCATATAAAACGGTGACCGCTTAAGAAATTCAAGATGGCCGCCGTTTTCCAAATGCAACTATTAATTAATTATTAATGGTAGGTAGCTTTCAAATGATGACAGTGTAAAAAGACACAACTAATAGAAATATTTGAAGAACCATCCCACAAGCTGATGGTATTATCATAGATGGATCATGCTAGTGAATATACCTACTGCTACCGAGTACATTTGATGAACATTCGATTGATGTATTGTTCCATCGTTCTTTAAACGTGTTGTATGATGAGGATTGGGAATTAAAGAAAATCTTTTTTAAACACGTTTTTTATTACTATTGCGGCTATCGATTTCGACCTTATCAGGTCATCTTCAGGCCAAGCGTCATTTGGTGAAGTGAAGATGCATGTAATATTTTGACGATATTATATATTATATTAGTTGTCAGGAATGAAAAATTAAGTGTAATAAAAGTGAGGTTGTTCAATAGTAATAAAAAACTTTAATTCCCAATCCTCATTTGATGAACATGCCAAAGATGTTATACTTCCTGCAGTAGTATATTTTGCTAATAAACACAAGAACCGATATTGTGTTTGATGTGTACAAACAGACCAGTAGAAAGGCTGAAACTAGATGCAAGAGAGGTAAACGAATTAGGAGACCAGTATCAGGAGATAACATGATCCCAACCAACTGGGGAAATTTCCTGTGGGATTCGACAAACAAAACAGAGCTTTACCACTTCCTAGTAGGCTTAGTTTTTATGTGGTTTCGTAAATATTTCTCACGATTTCTTATGCTTTATATTGCTTTTCTTTTTGGATTCTCTGAAATTATTTTTATGTTATTTTATGATCATAGTTTACAAGTTATTTTATTCTCAGCTCTACTCCAATTTTCAACACAGCTAGTAAATGTAATCCGTAATCTTTTTCAGCTTTATTCTTTATTATTATATTGTTTGTTTTTCTTATTATAAATGACTGGCTCTAATTCTCTTTTCGCGGGTATATAATATGAAATACATGAGGGAGGTCTCACCACGGACGTTGTCTATGGGACCCCTAATATTTCTCAATGTGATCTATTTACAAGTTTAATTTTCTTTTTTTTTGTAAATCATGTTATTATATTGAGAAATAAACATATATTATTATTATTATTAAGATAGCAACGATGGTAAACAACTGTTCAACCAATATTCTATAACGTGAGGTTTACGTACCGGTAGGTCCGTTAATTTGAATAATCTTGATCAATTTTTGGTAAAAAACTGGATATCAATCACACAACAAGAACAACGTTGCCGGGCGTTGGAGCCTTGCTTCTATTGCCCCCTCCTCTCGACGGCCCTGATTAAATTCTATAGAATTAAGCCTCTTTTTAATACTGCCATAAAAGTGCTTATAATTAAATCCTTTTACTCAAAATTGACATGCCATGCTTTATGTCAAGAAATTTTAGTTTCCATTACAGAGGCAGACCAGACTACTTTTCCTGCCGCCTGTCACTTGACCGGCAGCACTTGTCACTTTTCGCGTCACACCTGCCACATTGCTAAATGTCTATACTGACTCCTGTCATCCTGTCATTAATTAAAAGTTCTAAATTTGATATTAAAAAGACGATTTCAGGCAAAATTTAATACTAAACTCGTCAGTAAAATGACTTGACTCGGAAATTAAAGGACTCGGTCCCAAGGGGGCCTCGTACTTCAATATTTCCTCGCCAGTGATGTACCATTTTCCTGACTTTTGTGTAATAGATATTTAGTCCGGAAAATGATACATTACTGGTGAGGAAATATTGAAGTGCGAGTACTTTAATTTCCGACTCATTGGTAATTATGTAATAATTTTTTTTTAATTTATTTTATGTTGTCCGGGCTGCATGGAAGAACAGAGCTTATAATTAGCCTTTTTTCCTTTTGTTTCATGCGTTGTAATAATTGGATTCGTTATAAGAAAATGAGGCAATAAATTTAATATTATTATCTTAATCTTAATGTTGTTTATAATTTCAAACAGTTCCAAGATCGGGCTACTAGTTCAAAAGTTACAGCCCTTTGAATTTTTTGTCGAAATTGGTTTTTTGCCCATAACTTTTGATTGAGGTGTCTAATCGAAAAAGTACGAATCGTTTTGGATTCTACGCACCATTTTTGGTAAAAAAGGAAGGTTATACACTGTCTTTTTTTGAGGCCCGAAAAAAAAAATTGTCTCTCCCTTTACTAGCAACTGGAATACGTTTTCACATGTAACTTCATTCTCCTAATACAACGATTATTTAAAGTTGCTTGTATATTTTGGCGTTATCATTGTGCCATAAGGATTATCCGAGTATTTTGATTTCCTTTTGCACTGAACCGTACACAATCTACATTGTCATCAGTGCATTTTGAGGTTGTGTCGTTAGCAAAATTTTACGATTAGAATGCCTTTGTTACATCTTTAAAACCAATTATTTGCGCTATTGAAATCGTGAGTACAACGAATAAAACTTCATTTGCTTTGGTTTAATTATGAGGCGTAAATAATTATACAAATATGTCGTAAATGGGCATTATGTCAGTACATAAATATTTAGTGCCGGAGATTGAATAACGTCAACTGAAACTGACGCATCAAGCAACACATAGCTCTTCTGCTAAACCCGCAAGCTATTTTTTACATTTTTTGAAATGGTTTGTTCTAGAAGTGCCGTTTAATTTGCTTAAACGTCTACTGAGTAAGTTCACCCATAGATCCCATTTGTAGCAAGAAATGTAACAAGGAATTAGCCTCGCGTGATAACTCCGTTCCCAATTCCTCTATTTAGATATTCAAAAATCGAAACTTCAAGGAAAAAATTAGAAATTCTAATTTTGATTGTTATTTATATTATATGTTTTTTAAACGTGTACATTTGTAATTTTTATCTAATTAAAACATGTAATATATTACTGTTTCATCCTTTATATTTACACTGACCAGAAAAGGTCACATGAACAAAACCTTTTTTTGTAATTTCCGATTCGCACATTATTTCTATATTTATATTTTTAATAAGACTGGTAATTAAACTAATTAGCACGGTTTTGCTATATATACAATACGTTTCATCTCTAAATCTAAGTCAGTTCGTTTGTGATCTTCTACAGCCATGTTCAAGCAATTGGTAAGTTCATTTACGATTTACTCGCAATTTTAATCCCTCGCTTTCTAGTTCCTTGTTTTCGCCGCACTTGTGTTGGTCGCCAGTGAGGCGCAGTACAACTACGGATCTTACCCCTACAATCAGTATCAGTACTCCGGCTACCCTTACAACTACAACGGTTACAATGGGTACAGCGGTTACGGGGGGTACTCTGGATACAATAATTACCCTTACAACTCTTACAGTGGATACAATAGAGGCTATTCGGGACAGTATTACTAGACCGAAACATCAGTAAAATCGAATTTTCTATTGTAAACGACACTTAATACTCAATAAATGGTATCATAGTTCTCTCAATTTAGATTTGCTGCGTTCTAACAGTAATTAAAATCGAAGTGCGTTGATGCCAGATCTCTCTGTAAAATTGGTAACCAAGTAGAGAATTTCTTACGTTTTCGACAGCTAAGTAGAAGTGATCTAAAGAGGTCGAGCTCGATTGTTTTTCTAGACTGTGAGTTATTGCTCTATTGCTACCACACTACATAATTACTCAAAATTAGTATTTCAATTCTGTGTTGTACATGAATCATCATCTAAAAAGCTTTTTGACTGGAACTTTTAAAAAAACTCATATTTTAGATACGGGTTCCTAAACTACTGACTGGGTCATTATTTTTTGAAAAGGCAATCCTACTGGACCAAATTGGTTACCAGTGCATATTATGGAGTATTTCATCGAAATGAAGACTCAAGCACAAAGTAATTTATTTGTTCACCAAATTCATCTCAGTTACAATAATCCCTAATGCGAGTACGATCAGCGTCTATACTTCCTTCGGCTTTTGCTCCTTGAATGATGTCGTCTTGATTCGTGATGGCGTCGCCCATGATGTCTCGACCGGTGCCGTCTTCCTCTGTGTCCCCTGGAACCATGTCGCCTCTCTGCAAGCCCCTTCCTTCGTCTCCGAAGCACCACCGGAGCACTTTCGGCCATTGTTTTGTACGGTTGCTTTTCGTCGGGCGACATTCCCCTCCAGGAAACACCCGCCATACTTGCCACTTCCTTGACTGGTCTACCACGATTTTCGGCTATAAGTTTACGTAAATAGTTAAGGAACGCGTTTCGCGATACCTTGGTTGGGTTAGCGCCCGACATTTTTTAATCGAAAATTTTGCCAATCTTTACGATAATCTAACGTCAAATTCAAAACAGAAAAAAAATGAACCATAACATTGCAACTTGATGTCATCCTTTAGATTACTGTACTAATCATAGTGTGCATGTACCCATTAGCAACGTTTCTGTTTTTTTGGTCATTTTAGATATTGCACCATATTTTATACTTATTATACCGTTTTCCATAAATCTTTTTGAATTTGGGAGGCAGTGGTTTTCCCATAGTAGTGAGAGCGGCCCGTGGGAACAAACGGCATTTCGTATTAAAATTGTGCTACTTGGAACACATGTTTCGTAGACCTATTGGAGTGATTTGAGTCGTAGAGCCGGAAGTTCCGTCCCTTAGGATTGAAAATGGCGCCAATTTTCAAAATTGAGACGAATTTTAGGAAATATCTGTTTTTAGAGCGATTTTTACGTTTAGGGTGACGTTTACGAGGTTTCCGAGGGTGAAAACGACGAAAACAATATCCCAAGATAATTTCTGTGTGGGAAGCATGATTGTATGATATCTTTAACGTCCGACAGGATTCGAAAGTTTGTTGGAAAGTTTGACCGATTTTCGTGGTTGAAGTGCCGTTTTTGAGATTCTTTTGGGTGAAGATTACTAAAAAAGACCCATTAAAGTCCTTTTTGTACAATCGATATCCAAAGTACATAGGCATTTGCGCTCCTATTTGATAACGCAAACGTAATATTTTTCGAGGAATGTCAATTTGTCGCTTATAAGCGACAAAATAAAAAAAACCCTCGCTCTCACAATTATTATAAACTATAAATCAAATATGCATTGCTCAGAGTATCCAATGACAACGAGTAAATGACATCTTTCATTTGGGCATAAGATTAAAATAATAATCTATATTTGAGTAAAAAACAGAAAATATATACCAATGACAGCGTGGGAGAAACTCCTGAAAGGAGAACAGGAGGAGCAGGCCCAGCTAATGTCGGAGGACGACCACTGGCCACTGCCGCCACCCCCCACGGTGGAAGAAATGGTGGAGATAATAGGAAAGCTGAAAAAGGGGAAAATGCCAGGACAGGATAGAGTCCAGGCCGAATTACTACAATACGCCTCAGAATGGCTAATAAAGGACCTACATGCATTGATACAGGAGGTATGGACCAGGAACTTGGTCCCTAAGGAATGGCAGCAGACAGTGCAGATCCCCATCCCGAAGGTCAGGTCACCACAAGAAACAGATGACTACAGAAGAATCTCGCTATGCAGTGCGGGGTACAAGATATATGCGACCTACCTACTACAATGCCTAGAGGGCCACATACCCGAGACACCAGCATACCAAGTAGGGTTCATAAAAGGAAGATCAACCGATGACCATATATTCACGACCAGGAGGATCCTAGATGAACAATGGAGGGCAGGAACCAAAACATGGCTTCTAGCAATAGATTTGGCGAAGGCCTTTGACCAAGTGAAGCATGAAGCAATAACCACATCTCTGGCAATGCTGGGACTGCCCAAATTCCTAATCAACAGAATCATAAACGCGTGCCTAAGGGAGCATACTAGCATACAATGGTTTGGGAAGAAGACAGAGCACCAAAAGAAAACCAGGGGAATCAAACAAGGATGTCCGCTTTCTCCAAGGCTCTTCGCGATAACACTTGATCACGCTTTAGAACAAACAAGGATGGTGGTGAGGAACTTCAGCACAAGGGACCAATTACAACTACCGATACTACTGGCGTACGCGGACGACCTACTCGTAATCGCGGATAAGTTAGAAGACATTGAGGACTTCGTCGAAACCAGCGAGGTATACCTGGAAATGGTCGGCTTACAAATAAACAACGAAAAGAGCTACATGATGATAAGAGACCCAAGAAGCAACACCCAATACAAAGAAGGAGACAAGATCGCAATAGCAGGGAAGGATATAACTATGAAGCACAAGATTAATTAATATCTGGGAGCGTACATAAGCAGCACACTCAGCAGGCACAACACAGTGAAAGACAGAATAACCAACGCATTCAGAATCACACACGGAATTCGGAACTTTATACGAGAGAAGAAAATACCGGACAGCTTGAAGATGATGATTTACAACACGATCATAGCACCGACAATCTTATACGGAGTTAATACCTCAGCGCTAACAAGAAGTAACAGACGAACATTGAGGAGGGCGGAGCGGAAGGCACTCAGGATACTGATGGAAAACAGCAACCTTACAAGAAAGCAGATAAGGGAACTACTAGAGGGAAAGACGATCACCAGGAGACTGAAGATGAAGCAGATGAGATACTGGGGACATATAAACAGGAGGAACAAAGACCATATCCTACGGGCTGCCAAGAATCTATGTGCCTCGGAATGGAAGGTAGGCCGACCCTGCTTCACATGGAACACCACCATAGACCAAACGGTAATGGCCTCGGGGATTCCCATGGGAAGTTGGGAAGAGTGGAGCAGAGACAAGCATCAAATGAAGAAAGAAAGCAGAAGAATATTGGAGGTGGAAGAAGAATCAGACATAAGCACAAGTAGCCAAGAGGAGGAGGAAGAGGGAACGACAGAAAGTAACACAGAGAGAGGGCAACAATAAAAAGGGGAGGAACACGGGGGAAAACAGGGAAGGGAACGATACCAAAGGATAGGAACATCGGAAGACAATGAACGCCAGGAGAAGAAGCTATCACTAGAAAGCAGAGTTCCCTCTAAGGCAGAATACCAGTGGCGAAGCTGTGGCCGTACCCGTTCGGGTCGGATAACACCCAGTTAGCCGCCCCCCCACAACCCCCCCAATCCACAAACTCCACCACATTGTTTGGCATATGTCGCGGCCCAGCGCGATGGCAACAAAGTAGTGGTGAAACGTCCCTGATAGTGCCTACCAGGGACGCATCCTCACGACAGTTGACTAAATCCTGGGAGAGGCGGCGACGCCAGGCATATGTCAAAGTTTCAAGTTTCAAGTTTCAAATCAAATATGCATTGCTCAGAGTATCCAATGACAACGAGTAAATGACATC